ATTGTGAAGACTTATATATATATATATATACTTATATATATCCATTTACCCTTCATGATGTCATCAAAAGATTCAGAAATCTTCAGGCCCACAGGTGGCACTGTATTAAAACAGGTATGATTCTATTATGGAAACCAGGAACACTTCCAGAAATCATTGTCTGTGAACATGGCCAGGCCACCCACACATGCAGATTAAAACCCATGCAAAGAAGAGGAGCAAGATGTTCACATATGCCTACTGTGTCCTTTAAATTAGTTTAACTAAAAACATGCTGCATCTAACACAGTATAGCTTCTAAAAACAAGGGTAAAATCACAAATAAAATCTATACTCATGCACATGAAATCAAAGTTTCAAATCAAATCAAATTGCTAGTTTGAACAGTTGAGAGATGTTTTAGTATAATGATCCTGAGATAAGTTGGAAGAATGACTTGTCTCCATCTGCTGGCTAAACAATCCACCACACTATGAAGGTAAGGGATGATTTATTTGGAAGTCAGATTACTTTGTTTTTTTAGTTAATATCCTTTTGCTTTAAAAAAAAAAAAAAAAGATTTTTAATTACAGTTAGATACATTTGTTTATCTAACAAATACCTTCACATGTGAGCAAAAATGTGATAACTGACAGCTGTTATGTTAGCATTTAGCATTAGCATTTCATTGTCAAAATTAATTATTACATTTTTTATTATTCTTTTTATATATGTCCAGTATATTTTAAATGAAAAGTAATAATATAATAATAATTTTAAAGACAAATTGGTGTAAAGGATTTCAACAGTGTTCATGCTTCTTATTTTTTAATATTTAATATTTATTTAGTTATTGTCATTTAGATGCTTACTTTTCTGCATGGTGATTGAAAATTTGACAGTACTTTCATATGTTACAGCAACTGTGAAAAACCACCAAGACACCGTCAGCTGAAATGCAGCTCCAAACCGATCGTGCAGAGTTTACAGTTGGCTGTAGACACTCACAGCTGTACCTCTTTCCTGACCGCCTTCATAAAGAAATGACAATGAACTGGGCCAAAAAAATTTATTTCATTGCTCCATAAGACCTGCTGCTGCTGATTTTCACTCCAGTTTGGCATACTTCAGCTTTTTCTTCTTGTTTTCCTTCCACTGACACTATTTCTGATGAGGCTAGATGGGCCAGTGGCCAAGTAGATGCATCTCTCATGTCCTGTATCAGGTTAAAAAAAAAAAGAAATCCTCTGAAAATGGTCATATATACGGAGCCCCGCAGGGGACATGGGAGAAAAAAAAATTAAGACGGACTTTTGCGAGATCTCGCAAAACAAACTCGGGATCTCGCAAAGTCCGTCTTAATTTTTTTTTCTCCCATGTCCACTGCAGGACTCCGTACATATACACCGACTGGACAGAAAAATTGGTAAAAAAGCAGCCATACCTTCAAAAATCCGGACAACTATCACTCAAGACCTCTTAAAAAATTACAAATCTGGCTCCCTGGAAACAAAATATAAAGAAATGAAGGTTGGTTCAAGACTTGACATTAACTTGTTGGTTACTTGGCTTAAAACATTACCTGAGTAATATCATTACTACTACTGTAAATATCTGAAATCCGTGTCAAAACAAAAGACCTGTATGTAACTTAATTTGATAAAAACCCGAGTCAAAATGTTGAGGAACATTTATTCACCAAGAGCAAATGAGATCAATGATCCACTTGTTTTCTTCCAGACACACAGTTACCATGCTACAACATAAATGTTAAGGTTTATACTTTATATGGGCCAAGTGTATGTACAAGCGACCTTAACCATTAAACCATTCCTTGCAAAATTTAATGGCTACATTACAACACCATACCAGTTAAAATCATAATCGATCATCATCTGAAACATGACCAAGTATGAAATAAATAAAATTCCAAAAATGCATCATATAACCATTTCACTATAGTTACACTATATACTATATTGTCTTTTTATGGAGTCATTTCCTGATCATTGATCCATTACAATTTTTTTTAAACACACAGTGCATTCAACTTAGAACATTTACAGTAGCATTTTTCAGTATCTCAATGAAAAAGCCATGACAGGAACATCTACGTTTCATTAAGGGTTACAGGAAACATCATACAAGGGCCACAGAGGTCAACATCCATACCGTTAATAGCAAAGGGTGGGCAACGGGAGCTCACCAATTGTAAACCATTAAAAACACATCATTAGCAGTCATGAAACAGACAAAGTGGTGAAGATGTTCATGGCGATTTATGGCAAAAATGTGTGGCAATATATGCAAATTCAGCAGTATGTAAAAATCTTTTACTCTGAGCTGCCTGTAGCACTGGCTCACAGATGATATGCCTGATGAGCGTGGATTCACATGGATTCAGAAAAGTTGACAATGAGGAACGATCACACAGCATCGGACAAAATATCAAAGTCATCGGACAGTTCAAAACACAGGAATGAGTTGAAAATAGAAATCCTCCATGCTAATTATTTTTTTTTATAATAATAACTCCAAAGAGTGTAACATGTTTTTTTTTCCCTAAACCTTCTTATCTAGAGTTAAAAACATGTCACCCTCCTAACCAGCACTGCTGCTGATAAATATCTGTTATTTCTACCTTTTAGCAGTTCTTATCAGAGCCAGCTGGATTACCTGGAGCTCCTTGGCTTCACGTAGCAGAAAAATAAAACTAACATAAAATAAATGTCTCTCAGTCTTAGTGAGCTGCAGTAGCTCTAAAAAATAGTTTTACTATTAGTACAAATCTTAGGTAAGGACAGGAAAACAGAAGAGAAGAAGAGCCTGGATGTGTCACCATAAAATAAATACAATCCATTGAAATGTTATTGTTTCATCTGCCCATTCTCATTAGTCGGGTGTCAGATAACGCTGTTTTGTCAAAGCCGAGGCTCATTTATGCACAAGGTGTCCTTTGGTGGCAGCTCACAATGCACCGGGTTATGGCACTGGTGACACAGAACTGTCACTTCCAACTTCATCATGCAAGGCTGCTATTTTAAAGGGAGGCCAACCAAGTAGTTTTTAGGGCTTAAACCTAACTGAGTGAAAGCACAAACTAAAAGAGGAAAAACACAAAGTGCAATGGCCTCTCTCAGTCCCTGGTAGGATTCCGTGCACGAGCAAGCTAGAGGTGTGTCCTCTCCCCTGTTTGCTGAGCGGCAGGTTGGTGTACCCGTTTCCCATCAACTCATTACCTCCTGCACATAAAAGAGCCCATTTAACATGAATTCATTG